ACTCTGCAGTTACTGAGTCCTGAAAGTACTTTGGACACAGGGGTTGACATGGTTTTCTGAAATTTACAGTTTAGCATTTTCAAAAAATGTCTTTTGTTCTATTTACTTCACAAAGGTGAACAGAACATGAGCATCCTTGGTGTTGTCCTGCAACTTTACTGTTTTACGTCTTTGTCTTTATAAAACAACTTTCCCACTGAATAGGCTTAAATGCAGTCACAAAATACACAGGTAATGTGGAAACTCTAATGAAATATGACTGATAATAAAAATGTGATTTTGTGACTGGGGAAATGTGCATTACGTGTCTTCAACTTTCAGGAGTCAATCTTCTGTTGGATTTTCACTCTTCTTGTTGTATTTTAATTTATTGTCTTAATGCCAACTTGTATAACTGTCATTTGCATGTGTCTTGGCAATATTATATTCTCAGTTTCTGTAAAGCTCTTACAGCATCATATTGACAACATATATTATAATCAGGCAGATTAAGCAAATAACTACAAATCTGTCACTCCATTACAAATCTTTGTTTACAAAAGGAATTTGTTTGATTCAGGACTTGCTTTTGTCTCTCTGTAATGCACTGAGACTTTGTAACTAAACATGACGCGCTTAAAAGTTTGATTACACTTGACTGAGACAGACTTGAACCATAAATTGACAAATGGCAGCATACTCGTAGGTTTACATCGTCAAGTAAATTACAAATAGTAAGGCTATCTTAGTAACTTGCTGCTTGTACCGCTTCCTGCCAAAACAGAAAAAGAGGCCATATAAAAAAAAGAGTATTCCCTTGTATTAATTAATGATATGTATGTAATATTACCCCGAATGCAGTAATCTACAGTACGTAATGCTCAAATCTTCCTAATCCTGAAGCATGACAGCATGCAGTTAGGCAAGGTTTGTTTTAATGTGGGAAAAAAGGCGGGCCTAATCGAGAGGTAGTGAAGAAGTGGCAACAACAGAGTGAAGGTATAGTTCAGTTTAGATGCGATGTGCCTATATACTCTTCGAAGAAGGTGTCAGACATAAGGAGTAACTGATTCACAGGATCAGGGATGAGGAGTTGGTGGAACGGAATGATGAAACAAACATTTCTGCTGCATTTGAGCTTTATTTATTTCACCGGCTTTAATTATTGATGCAGTAATGTAAAACCCTAATTTTAATGTTGCAGCTGGGAAAATGGGCTTCATTTTTACTTCCCAACACTACAGTGTAACCACACCAGCTGATATGTGTGGTTTTATGTCAAGATGTTTAATAATTTCTGCATAATAAAATGAAGAGAATGAAACATTCTTGCATTTCAAAGTAGTGGAGTGTAAACTTTTCTGGTGTTGACTGCAGCTCAATGAGATGTGTGTCACAACAACAAAAGGAAATGGACAAATAATATCTTGAGGTGCAGGCCTGCATTTTACAGTATATGCATTGTTTAGTAAAGCATTTAGAGGCTAACCTTGAATTGAACGTTACTACATATAGTGTTCAATTCTTAACTATTTAACCAGGGAGAACAATGTTGGAAGTTTCTGGCCTCTACTCTCTGCCGTGTATATGTGTGTCTGTATATCACCATGTGTCTGTTCTTGCAGATTAGAGTGAAAGAGACAGAAATATTATGCAAAGTCTACCTTGTTTGGTTTTTTACATTCTGCATACAGTATACAACCCAACTTAGTGCTCAGACCCCTGTAATTAACTCAGAGCCTGTCAATCGCATTAGCAACAGGGTCTTCCTTATTTGGAGAAAATCTTAAGTGCCTCTCAGCCTGAATGATCCATCTTACTCTCTTTCATCTTAAAAAAAGAAACTAGATCACACCCAAAGAGCCCCTGGGAGGCTTCAAGTGTTAGTGTATGTTGTTTTTTTCTGGTTGTTGTGGAGAAGTTATGACATAAGGGGTATTAGGTGATGCTTAAATTGATGCTGACAAATTGATGTCTGCAGCTGTGGCTGCGACATGAATAGTGCAAACTGCCTGAAGATGACATTACAGTGTGTAAATGGTCAAAGTCAGATGGTTTTAATTGTCATATTTCCTGTGTCAGAATAAGGATCTTTATTCCCAGTGAGGATTAATTATATTAAAAGACTGAAAGGAAACACATGGGGTTTGCCTAGGCTGAAGTGACTCCTGTATGTAGGGAATTATCTCTTGTGATAATTGTTGAGAAATTTGTGCAACATAAAGTGTCCATTCATAACCATTCAACAAGTGATATATTGTCTAATGAAGTCCACTGTGTTTCATGGTCAACAGCTTGAACTGAATTTTGTTTAGACTATCACCTATGAATTTTAAAAGTCAAAAACCTTCCAAAATGGCATGTTTTGCTACTTGCAGGACGATACACTCATGAGTAAAATTATGAGTCAGATGTCAGTATCCAAATCAATCAATAACTTTGTTTCCAAAAGCGAGTGGTTATACAGCAGTGAAAGAGAAAAAAAGTACACAACACAAGGGCAGTGAACATAGTAGAGCATTTGCAGCTAACAAGTCACATATTTCCCTCCAGTTGGTAGAGACCAAAAACACAGCTAAAAGAGAGTGAATGCTAGAATTAAATTTGCCATGTGTGCAAAAACAGGGCTCCAACTGAGCTGCTGAATGTATTAATAAGCAATGTTTGCCACTAAGTTTACCATATCAACTTTATGTCAAAGTTGTGCTTGCTGCTCCACTGCCCCCAAACTACTTTAGACCACTGCAGGTTTAAAGCACTTGGAAATTTGTCCACAATTCCCTAATAAAACTTCATCTGTTAATAAAGATCAACTAAAAGCCCTAGTAGACCTTGAGATAAAATTGTTAAATGTAAAAAAAGTTAATATAATAAAATATAATAGAGATGCAAAGGACTTAAGATCAAACAAATAAACCATTCTGGAATAGTCATATGAATACAGCAGAAATAATTCAATGTTCATTTGTCAAGTTTTTATTTGAACTCAGTTTTAACTTCAACCTGCTAATTTTTCAAAATTTTAATGAAGTTCATTTAGCTTAATTCAAACTGTTTTTATTTCAGTGTCATTTGAAATATAGTAGGGCATATTTCTACCTCTTTGGGTAGCCTATCCATAAATTATTGGTAGCCTATAAAGTTGTTTTTTTTAATCATTAAGTGTTTACCATTTTTATGCTGATGTGTGTTTAGTTCATTGTTAGGAGCGGGTGTTTCTAGCTATTGTATGAAAACAAAAATCCCATTTTTTTGAAGAAACCCTACAGGTGTTTCCTGATCTGTCCTGTGATAACACTTTTCTCCGTTGTAAACGAGTATGACACCTATATTTACTGTCATGTGTGTACAGTGTGTACACCTCCAAACTGCAGTTATTTTCAGCCTTTGCCATCCAGTAATAGCTCCACGTGAACGACGCCGTTGGCGTTTATATTTAGAAAGCACGCTCCCCCGCCTCTTGCGTCAATGGAATCCCGTGCGTGCGTCACACGGAGCGACGTCTGTGTCGACCACGACGCTGATTGGCTCACGTACCGGACCTTTTTCCACCATTTTTGGGCATAGACCCGCCTTTTAGTAGACGCTGCCAAAATAAAACAAGAGTTTGTGGCGCTTCTGCGTCGGTCTGACCCAGTGTGTGAGAGTGTGTTTGAATGAGTGTGTGTGCGCGCTGTCAGCAGTGACATTCATTTGTTTCACTGGTTTGGAATAAATGACAAGCTTCAAAATTTGGATATTTACATGAACCAGGTAAGTGCAAGTGGACTTTGTATACAGTATTTATTCTATGCTGATTTTGGATTCACTGTAAATATCTCTTCATAGCTAAGTTTGATAATAATTTAAGATCATAGAACAAGACTGATAGCCCTAATCTCAAATTAATTTGATGGAAAATAATGTATAATGATATCATATGTGGTTTCCAGCTAGAGCTATAAATTTAGTTAAAGGTTTATTAGGTAGCTACATCTAACTACACCTAATGCATTCAAGCCTACAATGTTCACTTTGTTGACGCTATTATAGAGAAGTGTTGATTTAACCGCCCCCAACTGAACAGTTTCAGCTAGCTAGCTAGCAGTACTTACTAATAACTCTGGCAACTAATTGTAATTTAAATATTATTGAAATACAAGTGCTTGTCAGCCTATATGATAAATAGTTGTGAAAGATAAGTAGGCTATAGTCTACTTTTTTATTGAGGAAATGTCCCAGAGTTTATTGAGTGAGGCTAGTAATAAGGCTACTGAACGGGAACTCTGACAAACTGTCATGTGCAAATGTTAAAACTTTTTATGATTTTAGTTGTATGTTTTACGAGTGGGTGAAAAACAGTTTCTATATGACATGCCACGAAGAGTAAGGGATGTTTATATGATGTGAAACATGCTGAGCTGTCTGTCTATAAGTCAAGTTTAAGTGTAAGTTTGGAAAAAGAATTTAACTTTTTTTAAGTTTGAACTTGTAAAGCACATACTGCAAATAACATAGGCTAGTGAGAAGGCACTTGTAGATACATGCCCATTCACCAAAACTTGTACATATACACACACACACACACACACACACACACAAACTTTTCCATTTCGCCTGGCATTCAGCCCACCCTGAAATACAATCTGCAACACTCCCTGGTACATACTCTGTGAAACAGGGCTGCCCTCCACTGAAGGAGGTTTTCACAGCATTAACAGCCAGTAACACAATATCTGACAACATCTGATTGCGCTGCTGGACCACCCTCTGCATTTTCTACAAAGGTCTGACAGTCCCTGGAGCTCGAGAAATGGCATGTGGGGGAAATGAAACTGTGTGCATTCAAGGTGTTAATATAAGCTACCGTTTGGATAGTTACAGGAGGAGGATTAAAAAATGCTGACCCAAGTGATTTAGGCAATATCTAATTTACTACATATGTTTTAACAGTCAGCTCCTTATCAGCCCCAGTTATCCCCAGTGATTAACTAGCTTGCTTTTACTCTGAAAAAGTAAGCCTAAGAAGTTGAAAGTGTGACAACAGTTTACAACACATTTACAGTTACACACCACGTTAAATTTTTTAAATCGTTAAGACGTTTGCTTAGACTTAATCATGCATATTTAGTATGTCTAAATGTAAACAGCGTTTACCTTACATGCACAAACATTGAGATGTATTTTCACTAGTTGTAACTGTTACTGTCCTCTGTCGTAGCGATGCCCTGTGTGCAAACCCAGTATGCATCCCTGCCCCATGACACCTACTTCAGCTCTGAGTTCTTGAATCCTGACCACAGCACTAAACTGGTGATGGACATCAGTGGCCAAAAGGACCAGCTGTCTACGTCTTCGTTGCCCAGCATCAACACATTAGTGGGAAATGGCTATGTTAGGGAGTTTGATGCCTATTCCTGTAAGATTACCACCTCTCCTCCCGCCTCTACAGTTTCATTCAACCATACCACGGTAGCCGAAAGCTCCAGCGCTCAGATGCAGAACCAAGCCTTCAAGCTGGATGATCTCCAGGTGTACGGTTGTTACCCAGGCTCCTTTGCGCTCAGCTGCCTCGATGAAACACTGTCGTCATGTGGCTCAGACTACTATGCCAGCCCAGTCTATGCTACCGTCTCTCCTCCAACACCGGGCTTTCAAAGCCAGTCCGCACCTGTCTGGGATTCCCCTTTCAGCCCCTACCCCTCAGCTCTCCCATCCTCTGGGACTGATAAGGCTGCCATGGCGCAGCAGCTCTCCTTTTTCACCTTCAGCCCCACACCAGAGCAGCACTCTCCCCTGGGCCAACATCAGGATGCTCAGCTAGGCCAGGATGACCCATTCTTCCTGTCCTCTCAGCAGCATGTCTCTCCACTTCACTGTCCCCCCATGTCCCTGGAGCATGGACCCCTTGAAAGCCCCAGGATAGTAGAAGGAACCATGACATCTCCTAAGAATCATAACCCAGGATCCAGTGAGGGTCGGTGTGCAGTTTGTGGTGACAATGCATCATGTCAACACTATGGAGTCCGCACCTGCGAGGGCTGCAAAGGTTTTTTTAAGGTAAAAAGCTGAATAGCATCAACTGATACTAGCTTATCCCAGATATATTGTTACTGACTGCATGTGGACCAATAAATAACAAAGAAAGCTGTATGGATTCACCAAAGACACAATGTATTTATACACAATTACAGTACATCATTACACAGTTGATCCAACAGAGACCATTAAAATGTGCTGTGCAGTACATATCTTGGGCTCAAATATTGATATCGGTATCAGAAAACATCCTGCAACTCATCCTGCGTTCACCATTCATTCAGATTACATAGGACAATCATATTGAGTATTTACCAGTAATGCATCAAAGGTTATTGGCTGATACTGGTGATGAATTTTGATCCAAATAAAAACACAGGTGGAAAACAGGTGAAGCTTTATAGACATTTTAATTATAAGGAAATTGATGTGGTAAAAAAAAAAATCAACTTTTTTAAATATAAGATAGCACACAGGTTTATTTGTTCATTTTGATAATGCACAGTGTTATATGTATGCATCATTTTAATGTAATTTTTTTTTTGTTTGTTAGCGAACTGTACAGAAAAATGCAAAGTATGTGTGCCTCGGGAATAAAGACTGTCCAGTGGACAAGAGGAGGAGAAACCGCTGCCAGTTCTGTCGTTTCCAGAAATGTCTCACAGTGGGGATGGTCAAAGAAGGTAATGCAGTGTCAGAGTTTCTTAAAGCTTTCAGTGAATAATGTATGACACTGTGCAGCACGGGCTTGTAATGACAGTCTGAAACCAAAGCTAGGAATAACAGAAGTATGTAACCGGAGCTTGACAGAAAAATGTAAACTGATACAAAAGTTATTTTTTAAAATATGGGGGACAGTGACAGCCATGTGAGAGCCATAAGCATGTGCTTTAGCTGCTTCTGTCCTCTTTTCTGTCACTCTTAGTTGTTCGCACAGACAGCCTCAAAGGCCGACGGGGTCGTCTGCCCTCCAAACCCAAGACTGTGGCCGAGGCTTCATCCACAACCCCCAGCGTGAATATCATATCCTCTCTCGTCAGGTCACATTTAGACTCAAACCCAACTATTGGAAAGCTTGATTACTCCAAGGTAAATTACAAGAGGGCTCTAATACTGAATACTCAAACAGCTCAATGAAATTCTCTTCAGTAGCGCTGACCATTCCCTTGTCCTCCTCCTCAGTACCAGGAGACAGTGGACAACCTGAAAGAAAAGGAGGATGCTCATGACATCCAGCTGTTTTATGACTTGCTGAGTGGTGCTTTGGATGTGATCAGAAACTGGGCTGAAACCATTCCAGGATTCACAGACTTCTGCACAGAGGACCAGGAGCTGCTCCTCGAATCTGCCTTTGTTGAGCTTTTCATTCTTCGACTAGCATACAGGTTGGCTTCCTGTACGGCTGAAGAAAAAAGCCACATTAACTATTGTTTCAATAGGGTGATGATCATTTTTCAATGCTCTACTTGTACTAATGGCTTGAAACTGTGCAGGTCAAATCCCGAGAAGAACAAGCTGATCTTCTGTAATGGTGTGGTCCTCCACCGACTGCAATGCGTTCGCAGTTTTGGCGACTGGATTAACTCCATCATGGATTTCTCCCAGAGCCTTCACCGCATGAACTTAGACATCTCTTTGTTTGCCTGTCTTGCAGCACTTGTCATCATCACTGGTTAGAGCCTTTGTTTGCTTTTCATTTTCTGACTCTTACTGCATTTTATATTTATATTCAAGATTGTGTTTCTCATTTCCTCATTTTCTTTTGCACCCAGATCGCCACGGCCTCAAAGAGCCCAGACGGGTCGAGGACTTTCAGAATAATCTCATCACCTGTTTAAGGGAACACGTGAGTGGAAACGGATCAGAAATGAGCAGGACCCAGCCCAACTACCTTTCCCGTCTTCTGGGCAAGCTCCCCGAACTAAGGACTCTGTGTACACAGGGCCTGCAGCGTATCTTCTACCTGAAACTAGAGGACCTGGTCCCCCCTCCACCAATTGTGGAGAAGATCTTTATGGATACTCTGCCGTTCTGAAACAACATAAATAGACGTGTTATATATACAAGATGACAGTTGAAATGGTGGCTGGAAGCACCTAATAAGAGGTTTTATCACTGAACTCAACTGGTGAACCTCCTTTTATCCTACTGACATGTGAGATGACAAATATCTGACATTGTTCAAGAGACCATTATTTTTTTATCATTATGTTGTAAAACCTGAGTGCATAAAGATTTATTTCAGTTCAATGAAAGGCAGAGATGGGGCTGAAATTGTACTGAGACTTCAGGACACATTTTATATATACATTTTTGTGTGCATTTGTACAATGACTTTTTTTTTGCTGTGCTAAAGACATGGATATTTGGGTAGATGCAATGCAGTGTTACGTACTTAGAAACACACTAATTTCTTAAAAAGCCCACTAGAAAAACGCAGACAGAATCGCATGTCCTGTTTCTTAAAACAATTTGTGGAACCCTAATTTTCAAAAGGGAAATATTTACTAATTTCTTTGTATCACAACAGATCGTTTTAGTGCTAATCATACTCTTGTTGAAGGTCTTGGACCAAAGTTTATGCTTATTTTGATACTACCAATTACAAACCTTATTGCCTTAATCCCGACATCTTTTCCTATATTTCTTATGCTGCCATTTTGCAACATTTTGTAAAGGCAGATGCAGGCAGAGCTCCTGTTGAACTGCATACCCCTGTAATACCACACCTCTTAGTCTTTTGAGAACAAAATGGACTTGCTGAATGAGAATGCAAAGTGCCTTTATAAAGCCTTAGTCTATGAAGCATACTAAGTGACACTAAATGAATTTTCAATCCAAACATCACATACAACTCCCCATCTGTTAGACACATGAAAACATTAACTTCTGTGTCACCACCAGGTTATATGGTGAACTTATAATGGAAAAATATGATTTCAGCTCCGTGCCAGCTTTTATGAAGTGTCCTTAGGCATGTCAGTGTCAGGACTATCTGACAAAGAGCATGCAATACTTGAATGTACACTTCACACTGCTAAGGGCATCAAGTGACGACAGGTGGTTTAAGATCCATAAGGACTAAATCCTCTTCACGTTCCTGTGGCAGTGAAAGTTATTACATTAGAGCTGTCCAGCTTGAGATGATATTAAGTCGAAGCACATTTCAAAGTTTCTAAAATTAGATACAGTATTTCATTTTTCTTATTTGATACATGGATAAAACCCCAAAATGCTTGAAAATTATTAAGCACAATCAAACATTTCAGGCATGACATCAGCTGCTTTCTTTGGTTTCTTTCCTGTCATTACATACAAATACATCACCCTTCATGTGTTTTGAACCGCAGCACTGCGTGTTTGTAAAACTCTCTTCCATGTTGTTCTGAATTATGCAGCTTTTTAAAATGTTTTTTGGAATTTTTTTTTATTTTCATCTCAAAGAAAAGAAATATAGTAACTTAAGGAATCACAGTGAAATGTGATGAGAAGATGAGCAGCTATAGCACTTCAAACAGTGCTCAAACAATACGACGAATACTTCGTTCTCCCACTGTAGACTATATGTTTTGTTTAGGATGTGTGTTTACTCTGACAGCACTGCCAGGACTTTCATGAAAAGGTGCAAAAGTACTCAGAGTCAGAAGATTTGATAATAAATGTTTGTAGAAATGTGCTGGTCTATTTTCATTTTCATTTTTTGACAATGCAGTCATAGATTTGTCAGTCTGTGACATGTCCTTTGTCAGATCAGAGTTTCTATTCTGTAACTTTATATATATCTTTTGTTTTGTTTGGTTTTAGTTGTGAAATATTAATAATCAATTTATCTAAACATGTGAGTTCAGTTTTTGTTACATATTGTCAATTTTTATTCTTTGCCATTATTACTGAAATGAATACATAATGTGAAAACATTTCTAAATATTTCCAGATTCATAGGCTATATAATTTGTATTATCCTTGGAAACATTCGCTTACAAAAATGGTTCAAGAGTAAGGCAGATAATATTGTATATTTTTACTATCCTAACCTCTCCTCCCTGTGGCACCCGCCCCAATGCCCATTCCGTCCACTGAAGTTGTAAGTCATGTCATGAGTATACAGTTTGATTTTTTTAAAGGCTAAATAATTTTCTAAAACAGGTGGTAAAGTGTGAATTTGTTGAGGCTATTTTCAGCTGAGGATTTGTTGTGCTAGTGGGTATTTGTGGCAGCAGAACTGTGTATGTGGGATCAACCCCTGACTTTCCCTTCAGTGTCACCATCAGGTTTACATTTGTGTTTTTTAATGAAATGTCTCAACAGCTGCTCGATGAAATGTCATGAAATCTAATACAAATGCTCATTTTCCCTTCAGGGTGAACTATAACTGTAGCTTCATCTGCAGATCAAATGTTTTATTTGTCCAGTACTTTGGTTTAATGCCAAATACTTGAAAAACAAACTACGTTTCAGTTTCCATCAGCCATATGCACTTTATGTTTAGTGCTAATTTAGCATGCTAACACTCTAAACTGGATATGTTAGCATTTAGCTCAAAACCACTATAGTGTCCGAATACAGCCTCAAAGAGCCTGATATACAATAACCATCCATCCATTATCTATACCGCTTATCCTGACGAGGGTCACGGTGGGCTTGAACCAATCCCAGCTGACATTGGGTGAGAGGCAAGGTACACCCTGGACATGTCGGCAGTCTATCACAGGGCTGACACTTAGGGACAGACAACTACACAAGCCCACACTCACTCCTACGGGCAATTTAGAGTCACCAGTCAACCTAAGCTGCATGTCTTCGGACTGTGGGAGGAAGCTGGAGAGATCTGTCCGTTAAGAAGAGCCCAGAATTTGTTGCCCAGTCAGTTGATACAGTCCAGGAAACAAAGCACATCTTTATTTAACACAGGACCTACTGTGCTGTAACTTGTTACATATTAATGATGTGATAAAAAAGTGACAAAAGTAGTCCTTCATCTCCTTTTCCCTATGTCTGTGTTGTTTGGTCACACACGGCGTTAATCTTGGCAACATCTTTGACCAGAGGAAGACGACACCGTCCCACTCTCAGCCACAGCAGACTGCAGTAATGACTGCATTCATTTGTTTGACACCGGATCCTACTGTACACCACATACTGGTCATTTGGAGTTTGGTGTTGGCAGACAGAGTGGAAAAAGGGATAAGGGGAGAAAAGAGGAGGAGGCAATGTGAAAACTAGTTTGCATTGAGGTCTTCATTAAAAATGGCAAGTCAGATGTAATAGGAGCAGCAGACGAATACAGTTTCATAAGCTTGATTTAGTTCAATGCAACAGCTCAGAGAGTTCCTTTAGTAGTAACTAAAACATTTTTAATTTGGCTACAGAACTATCTATTGTGTTCCCTTTGACTTTCAGTGTGACTTTGTATTCTTTATGCCTGAAATGTTAAAGCTGGCAATTGGACTTGCTTGAAGTTCTTGAAGACATTTCCCAGAAGCTTCATCAGTTCTGACTGACTGGTGGGGAACTGCAAGTATTTAAAGAATCCATGGCATGCTTTCCCTTGTTTTCTGACTTATCTACAATGTTACAATGGTGAATTATCACCTTAAAACATGATGTGTACATACTGTATGTTCTAGTACTTCTATCTTGCAAACTCTCATTTGCTAGACTTTTTTCCTTTGATCAGCTCATCAACACTGGATTCCCCTGGATCACAGTACCTGTTTCTTTTGACTGCTTGAGGCCAGTGTGTCTGCCGCATGTGATATGTTGCTGGTCATTATTGTCGGTGCTACAAAACCTGTTGGAATTAACTTCACTACTTTGGGAATGTACAGTATGTTTGCAGAGACGCAAACAGGAGACAGAGACTGATGACAGAGCTGTCAGAGGTTGGAGTCAAACCGCTGACATCACAAACCCTGAAGGGGTATATCGTGCACGGCGTTGTAACCACTTGGCTACAGCCCTGTGATAGACTGGCAACCTGTTCATGTTGTACCCCATCTCTCACCCAATGTCAGCTGGGATTGGCTTCAGGCCCCCCATGACCATATTCAGGAATAAGCTGCATAGATAATGGATGGATGGATGGATGGATGGATGGATGGGAACGTATATGGTCATGTAGGGGAAGATGCAGCGATCACCGGTTGGATTTACCAACCTTGGAGCTACTTGAAAGGGAGTGATGTTTCCACTACTTGGTGGGACTTAATCGTAAGTTTAAAACACACACACACACATTGCAGGTCTGTTAATGTGTTGTTTCTTTAGAGAATTGTTATAAGGCTGGAGAAGTTACTATGTCTGCATTATGCCAGTTAAAATATGGGGTTTCTCAATGACCTGCTTTGTTTAGAGTGTTACACATCTCTTTTCATTGGTACATATACCATTGTTTACCTCCACCTGCAATCCTAGTCTAGAGGTACCCAAAATAAATGTTAAATGGCTGGAAATGAGCATGCTATGGGCACTTTAACCTTTTTGAGTCATTATCCCTCCAAAGCAGAGAGAGACAAAAAGAGCAAACTCTTCAATTCAATCCAGTTCAGTTTTATTTGTATAACCAGAAATCAAAACTGAAGTCATCTCAGGACACTTTAGAAAGGAAGGTCTAGACCTTATTATTATTATAGAAGAAAAGCCCAACAAATCCTCCTTGAGCAAACACAACACAAACACAATATTGATGAATGCTTCCATAGAGTTTTTGGGTATAGTATCCAGTTATCTTTATATGTTTTCATTGGCCCAAGTTTCAAGCAAACATTTTACTTCTTCTTTACTCCAGAGAGGTTTCATTCTCAGCCATGTTTGTTAATGTTCAAACCAACAGAGTTGAATAGTTATGACATCACATAAGAGATTTTTATTGTCAATTCACTATATGTGCAGGACATACAGAAATGTACACGTAAGAGTTTTTTGAATCTAGGTGGGTGAGGGCTGGATGGAGAACAGCAGTAATGGCATCCTCTATGGACCTGTTTGACCTGTATGCAAACTGAAATGGGTCATGAGAGGGAGGAAGGATGGACTTGATGCTCTGCATGCCCAGCCGCTCGAAGCACTTCATAATAGTTGAGGTCAGTGCTACAGGCTGATAGTCATTGTAACTGGTTAGGTGGGGCTTCTTTAGAATTGGAATTATTGTGGCAGCCTTGAAGCACATGGGAACAACCGCTTGTCTCGGAGATGTTAAAAATGTCCAGGTATGTTATCCGGTCAAGCTGACTTGCATGGGTTGATCCTGGAGAGGGTCTTCTTCACGGTGGCTGCGGACAGACACACAGCCTGCTCGCCCAGGGGAGGGGTGGTCTTCTTCTGTGCTGGTGTGTTGTTCTGTGTTTGAGAGCAGCCAAACAAGTCATTGAGGCTCTTCAGCAGAGAGAGGTCACTGTCACAGCTCCGAGGTGGGGGGTTTATAGCCTGTGAGGGTTTGGATGCCCCGCCAGAGCCTCTGTGCATCTCTAGTGTTGCTGAAGTGTCCAGATATTTTCTTGCTGTATTGACGTTTTGCCTCCCTGATTCCACAGGACACGTTGGCTCTTGCTTTTGCTAGGCCACGGTGTCACCGGCCCTAAAGGCTGCATCCCGACCCCTCAGGAGTCTGTGAACCTCACCTGTCATCCATGGCTTCTGGTTGGCACAAACAGTGATATTTTTGCTGTAGGTCACATCATCAATGCATTTTGTGATGTATGCTGTGACAGCCTCAGTGTATTCCTCTATGTCTATGTGATTGTCATGAGCGGCTGCTTGTTTGAAAATGTCCCAGTCTGTAGTGTCAAAACAGTCCTTCAGAGCATAAGAAGCCCCCTCCAGCCACACACGTACCTCCTTTTGTGTTGGTCTGATGGCTTTCACTCTGGGTCTGTATGCAGGTCTTAGCATGATGGTGATGTGATCGGAGAGACCCAGGTGGGGGAGGCTTTGTATACACCCTTGCATGTGGTGTACACAAGTTCCAGTGTGTTGTCTCCGCTTGTTGGAAAGTCCACATGTTGGTGCAGATTGGGCAATAAAACCTTTAACTCTGTGTGACTGAAGTCCCCAGCTGTGATGAGGAATCCGTCTGGGTGCACTGTCTGTTGTTCACTGATGGCCTGGTAGACTTCATTCAGTGCCTCACTCCTATCGCTGGTGTTAGCGGTGGGAGGAATGTACGCAGCTACCAACAGAATTACTGAGTACTCCCTACATAAATAGAAAGGCCTACACTTGATGATAATAAACTCCATCATTGGAGAACAGTGTTTATGAATAACAGCAGCGTCCCGACACCAAGTATCGCTGATGTAAACGAAAACTCCCCCTCCACGTGTTTTACCAAAGACTCGGTCAGCTCGGTAGCATGTTAGCCCTGCTAGCTGGATAGCGGAGTCCAGGATGTTGTCGTTTAGCCATGTCTTTGTAAAAATTAAAACAAAGCAGTCCCTCATCTCACGCTGCGCAGATCTCAGGAGCTATATGTGGTCTATTTTGTTGTCCAGTGAATGTACATTGGCCATAATGAGGGATGGTATCACGGTTCTGTGTGGACTAGCTGCTAGCCTAGCCTAGATGCGTCCCTGTTTGCCCCGGTTCTGCTTTCATTCACACCGCTTCTGACGCCTCCTCTCAGTGGGTGGTGCAGCTGGCGTGTTCGGTGATGTAGGAATCCGGCGGAGAAGCCCCAG